GTAGTAAAAACTGCCTGATACTGGTATAATGGCAGACACATAGACCAATGGAATAGAATTGAGAACCCAGAAATAGATGTCTGTTTAATAGAATATCTGTTTAATAAATGGTGCTGTCAAAACTGGATATCCAGTTGCAGAAAAATGAAACATAATCTGTACCTCACACCATACACAAAACCTAACTTCAGATGGAGCAAAGACTGAAATGTGAAACCTAAAACTAGAAAGTTCCTCAAGGAAAAACTAAGGGCAAATTTAGGGGCCCTAAAATAGTGCCTAAGGCACTTGACTGCTAACCAGAAGGCTGACGGTTCAAACCCACCAGCCACTCCTCAGAAGGAAGATGGGGCAATCTACTTCCATAGTGACACTGCCTTGGACACCCAAGGAGGGGTCGCTATGAGTCGGGTCCAACTCGATGGCACATAACAACAACAACAACAACAACAATATATGGCATAAATAGACTATCAAGCGTAACCCAAAATGCACAAACAACAGAAGAGAAACCAAATGATTGGGACCTTCTGAAAATTAAATCTTTATGTGCTTTCAAAGACTTCTCCAAAAGAGTCAAAAGAGAACCTACAGATTGGGAAAAAAATATTCGGCAATGACATATCTGACAAGGGACTTATCTCTAGAATGTATACAAAAGCCCAACACCTCAACAACAAAAAGACAAATAATCCAATTTTAAAATGGGCAGAAGACATGAACAGACATTTCACCAAGGAGGATATTCAAGCAGCCAACAAACATATGAAGAAATGCTCACAATCATTAGCTATTAGAGAGATGCAAATCAAAACAACAATGAGATACCATCATGCTCCAGCACTAGTAGCAAAGTTCAACAAGACAGAAAATAACAAATGCTGGCGAGGATTGGAGAGATTGGGACTCTCAACACTGTGGGACTGTAAAATGGTACAACCACTGTGGAAAGCAATATGGCGATTCCTTGAAAAGTTGGAATTAGAAATACAATTTGACACAGCCATTCCATTACTAGGTATATATCCTAAAGAAGTGAGAGACAGGACAAGAACAGATAGATATATGTGCACCCATGTTCATCGCAGTACTATTTACAATAGTAAAAGATGGAAACAACCTAGGTGCCCATCAACTGAAGAATGGATAACCAAAACTATGGTACATACACGCAATGGAATACCATGCAACCCTAAAGAATAATGTCTAATCTGCAAAACACAGCATAATGTGGATGAACTTGGAGAACATTATGCTGAGTCAAATAAGTCAATCCCAGAAGGACAAATATTGTATTAGTCCGTTACTGTAAAAAGTCAAGGAAAGGTTTATATATAGAAGGAAATTTTCTTTGTTGGTTACCAGGGGTGGGAGAGGAAGGGAGGGAACACTGTCAGATAGGTAGAAATGAGTACTGATTTGGGTGAAGAGAAGGGCAGTGTACCAAATGTGAGTGATCAACACGGTGTCATTGAGGAAGAAGAAGACGTGGAGAGGTACATGGGAGGTACAGACAACAAAGATTAACCCTTTTGTACATACAGCACTGTGTTGTCAGTGAAGGCAAACATGGATATACGGTGGATAGATTGGTGGACAAGGCTTAACTATTAGGTATGTCTTTGCAGGGGGTTAGTGTGCCCATGACCATATACAGGGTTTGCAGACAATGTTTCTACAAATGTATTGGTATGTCTGTAAGAATTTCCAGGTATATAGTAGAGCTGACAAAGGACAAGGTTGTAGTCACTTCATGAGGGAGTAAGTGGTTGGACCTATGGGCTCAGGACCATAGTTGCAGGGGATATCAAGCTCAATTGGCATAACATAACATAACATGCTACACAAAACATTGTTCCACATCCTACTTTGGTGAGTAGTGACTGGGATCCTAAAAGCTTGTAAGTGGCCACCTAGATGCAGCAATGAGTCTCTCCTCATCCAGAACAAAGAGGAATGAAGAAAACCAAAGATTCATGGAAACAATTAGTCCAAACACCTAGTACAACATGGGATCCTCAGTCTGTACAACTATGAGACCAGAAGAACTAGATGGTGCTTGGCTACCACTGTCAGCCACTCTGAGGGGGGATCTGTGTAGGAGATCCCTGATAGGGTGGGAGAACAATGTGGAACACAATCCATTTGAAAAAAAAGGGGGGGGGGCCAGGTTTGCTAGTCTGATAGAGCCTGGTGAAACCATTGAGCCTATGGCTCCTAGCTCCTTCAGGTCTGGAATTGAACCCACTCCTGTGGCTTCCACCCTGACAAAAGACAGGCATATGAGGTGAATATTTACACTAGGTAGATAAACTCCTTGGAGAGAACAATCATGGGAGAATAGAAAGGCTGTGTATGCACAGGGAGACTGCTCAGGGGGCAGGGGTGCATGGAGGGATGGACACAGGGAAGAGGTAACTATCAGGAGGAAGTGGGAGGGGAGCTGTTGCATTGTGGTAAATTGTAGTCAATATCATGAGACAAAGTGTATGTGAGGTGCTGTATGGAAAGTGAATTTGCTCTGTAAATTTCTACCCAAATCACAATTAAAAAAAAAAAAAGTATAATGAAACTGAAGCACAAAAAAGTTAAATAACTTGATCAAGAAGTAATAATTAGAATTTAGCTCTCCTAATTTCTAGCCCAACATCCTACACATTAAATTATAATATCAGCAATATTTTTTTACTGAATTACATAATTCAGTTATGCAATTACTGCATAATACAGTAGTAAGTTCAGAACCTATTATGATGGACTTTTTTCCTTAACTATAAAATGAATTAAAGCACATGAAAAACTTTTGAGGCCCATTTAATTTCTAGTGAAATTTGATTCTATATCTAAAATCTTTCTCACCAACTGCTAGGACCATGGTCATCTTTTCCTTTGAGGAACTTGTGCCTATACCCTTCTACTTATCTTTCTGCTTATCTTTTCTAGTCATGATCCTATTGCCACTTTGTATTACTTAGCCTTTCATAAATATGCCAATTTTTCATAAATATCTCCAATTCAGTTATATTCTCTAAGGGATGCAGACTTTTTCTTACATGACCTTGTATTTGTAAGCTTTTGAGTGCTAAAAAATAATTATATAATTTTCTGTTTCTGATGGCAACTAATAGTGCTTTAGACAGAGAAGGCACAAACAAGATTAAAAACTATAATAATGATGACTGTCATATTGCAATTTAAAAGAATAAGGCTACTGTTTGGCTACAAAGTTATCTCCAGTGGTGGGTTCAGTTCTCTCTTTGAAAGGTGTCTAAGGGCCATTCTCTAGGATTCTACCAGTGTATGTCAGACCAGTAAATCTGGTCTTTCTTACGATTTTGAATTTTGTTCTACATTTTTCTCCCATTCTTTACATGTCCCATTTTTTGGTTCCAATCAGAGCAATCAGTAATGGTAGATGAGTACCATCTACTTTTTCTGGCCTCAGGATAGTGGATGCTGTGATTCACATAATCCATTAGTCCTTTGGACTAATCATTTCCTTGAGACTTCGATTTTCTTCATTCTTCTTTCCTCTAGATAAGGAGAGAAGGTAGTTGCATCTTAGGTGGCCTCTTGCTAGCTTTTAAGATGCTAGCTGCTACTCATCACACTAGGACATTTTATTTGTGAACTATGTTATGCTAATTGCCTTAGTTTTTCCCTGCAACTGTGGACCTATGCCTCCAAACCCAGTGATTCATTCCGTCAAGGTGTTTGGCTATGGCTAAGAAGTTTTCATAACTCTGCCCCCTGTTTGCTCTACTGTATACAAGGATATGGATATATTTACAGTGCATACAAAAGTAAATAACACTTGTGAGAAACCTACTGCAGTGTAGTGAGTTGCATGGTGTGGCTTTTCTACCCATAGTCTTTGTAACTCCCACCACACTGCTAGATGGGACCATGAAAATATGTGTCAACTTGGCTGGGCAGCTGGTAGTAGTTATTCCCTACAATAAGACTAGCAATTAACTGTGTAGTGGAATTTGCTGTGAGCAACTGAGTAGCTGCTTTAAAACTCCTAATTATTAAAGTCATCCACCTGGGGTGTTTTTGTTGGTGCAGCATGAAGTAATCTTCTGGGGAAGTTTGCTCTCTCTCAGGTGTATAGAACTCTGATGTTGGGATTGGTTAGTTTTGCCACTCTGCCAGGCTTAAAACGAGTCCTCTAGAGGCAGAGGAAAGAATCTCATTGCCAGTTGAAGAGAAGGCGCCTAGCTGAGAGAGATGCCATGGCAGTGGAACCAAGAGGCACGGGACAGAGCTGTAGGCTTACCTGGCCAACAGAGGCAGTGGCCAGGCTGAGAGGCCAGGGGCCAGAGAGGCATGTCTAAGGGCACAGCAGAGGGGAGACTGTCCTGATCAAGGAACTGTATCCTGAGCACGTCCCTGAACTTGAATTGTAGCCTATTGCTTCCCTAATAAACCCCATAATCTGTGAGTTCTGTGTGGCAAGTAGTGAATTATCGAAACCAGCAAAGAGGTGGTGGGTGCTGTGGGATGGACGGTTGGTGTCAAGGTTAGTAAGAAGGCTGGAGGGTGTCAGCATGTCTGGCCTCATAGGAACAGGCCTTGGGACTGTGCTGATGGTGATTATGTCTTCCTCTTGGGTAGTTAGAGGAGGTCAAAAGATGTTTCCTCCCTGCCCCTTTAGCACCTGTTCTTCAGAATAAGCAACCAAAAGGTAGCATTTACCCCAAAAAATTAGCTTAAAAGGCAGGAAGGGGTATGAAAGAAGGCCCAATGGGAAATGAGGAACCCAGGAAGGAAGTGGGTAGAGTACTGTTTACATTGAAGTAATTGCAACTAATGTTAATGAAACAAAATGTGTATAAATTGTTGAATGGAAAATGAATTTGTAAACTTTCACCCAAACCACCATTGCTAAAAATAAGAAGAAGAAAAAGAAGACTAACTATCATAGCTACAGTATTATGGGAAATAGAATTCATGGATTCAGCCTTAAAGGCAAATATGTTTGTTTTCCTTTGTTCCAGAAAGATGTCATGGAGCGAGTGTTTTCTGGCATTCAGCCTACAGGAATCCTCCACTTGGGCAATTACCTAGGAGCCATTGAGAGCTGGGTGAGATTGCAGGATGAGTATAGCTCTGTGCTGTACAGCATTGTTGACTTACACTCCATCACTGCCCCACAAGACCCAGCCTTGCTTCAGCAAAGCATCCTGGACATGACTGCTACTCTTCTAGCTTGTGGCATAAACCCAGAGAAAAGCATCCTTTTTCAACAATCTCAGGTCAGCTTCTCAGATTGGAAGTGAGAAAATTTTATTTTCAGAATATTTAAGAAAAAATTGAAATGGTTTTTATAGCCCTCTTTGTGATTTCTTAATTGTTCAAAGGTGACTTTATCAAAAGCAATTTTGTTTTAATGTTTTTCCCTGTATTCATATCATTCATTAAGTATCACTATAATGCAATAATATTTTCCCCCACTACAATTGGTATATTTTTACTTTTCCTTTTCAAGTTGTCATTTGAAATCTTCTGTTCATCTCTTTTATTTCATCATTTCTATTTGCTTTAGCTACTCTCCATTCAAACTATAATCTTGAATATATCCCTCCTGAATTTAGAGACCATCTAAAGAATACATATGATGCACTGAACATCAGTGACCAAAAACCAGAAGAATTATGAGATGACATCAAAAACATCACCCATGAAGAAAGCAAGAGGTCATTAAAAATATGAGACAAAAAGAAAAGACCAAAATGGATGACAGAAGAGACTCTGATGCTTGCCCTTGAGCAGAGAGTAGCTAAAGCAAATGGAAGAAATGACAAGGGAAAAGAACTGAACAGAAGATTTCAAAGAGCAACTCAAGAAGACGAAGCCAATCATTGTAATGAAATGTGCAAAGACTTGGAGTTAGAAAACCAAAAAGGAAGAACATGCTCAGCATTTCTCAAGCAGAAAAAACTGAGGAAAAAATTCAAGCCTCAAGTTGCATTATTGAAAGATTCTATGGGCAAAATATTGAATGATGCAGGAAGCATCAAAAAAAGATGGAAGGAATACACAGTCACTGTACCAAAAAGAACTGGTAGATCTTCATCCATTTCAGGCATATGATCAAGAACCAATAGTTTGAAGGAAGAAGTCAAAGCTGCACTGAGGAACTGGTGAGGAACAAGGCTCCAGGAATTGATGGAATACCCATTGAGTTGTTTCAACAAACAGCTGCCCCACTGGAGGCACTCACTCAGTTATGCCAAGAGATTTGAAAGATAGCTACCTGGCAACTGACTGGCAGAGATCCATATTTGTACCCATTCCAAAGAAAGGTAATCCCACAGAATGTGGAAATTTTCAAACAATATCATTAATATTGTACGCAAGTAAAATCTTTTTTTTTTTTAAATGCATTTTATTGAAATATAATTTATGTACAGTGAAATACACAAAACTAAAGTGACATGACATGGGTCAGTGCTTTTTTTTTTTTTTTGCAGTGTTCCCTCCCTTTCCCTCCTGCCCCTGGCAACCAACAAATAAAGTGTCCTTCCATATATTAACCTTTCCTTGACCCTCCACAACAAGGAACTAATACTGTATTTGTCCTTCTGTGATTGACTTATTTCACTCAGCATAATATCCTCCAAGTTCTTCCACATTATGCAGTGTTTTGCAGACTCTACATTATTCTTTAGTTCTGTATAGCATTCCATTATATGTATGTACCATAGTTTGGTCATCCACTCTTCTGCTGATAGGCATGTATGTTGTTTCTATCTTTTTGCTATTGTAAATAGTGCTGCAGTGAACATGAGCATGCATATATCTGTTCCTGTCCTGGCTCTCACCTCTCTACGATAGACACCTACTAATGGGATTGCTGGGTCAAATGGTATCTCCAATTCTAACTTTCTAAGGAATCGCCATATTACTTTCCACAGTGGTTGTATCACTTCACAGTCCCACCAGCAGTGTATGAGAGTCCCGATCTCTCCACATCCCCACCAGCATTTGTTATTTTCTGTCTTGTTGAACCTTGCCATCAGTGCTGGTTGAGATGGTATCTCATTGTTCTTTTGATTTGCATCT